TATATATATATTTTAGTATATAATACAAGTAAAAATATTTTTTTATTAAATATTAATACATAATTTGTTTAAGTAAAGGTAGTTTTTTTTTATCAGCAAATAAATTAAATGAATATGAAGAAATGTATTTAAAAGTACAAAAAGATTTATCTGTCTTAACCTTTACTTTAACCTTTCTTAAAACCTTCATTTCATTGTTTTTTGACAGATAATTTACAATTAATATCGAAACAAAGCCCGCATGGTTTCTTTAAGTTCAAACTGACCTATTTTTATGTAAATACCAGGAAACAGAATTATCATAAAATAAGAATATTTCATACCTTTCAAATTCGTAAAAACGTTGTTTTTAATAATAAAATAACAGTTTTTATTAAAACTGTTGTCAAGTATTTTACATAATTATTGATTTTATATTAATACTAAGATTTTTTTTTTAATAACGGGATTCACTGAACCTTCGTTCTTCACCTTAGAAGATGTGCCGGAAGTGTTGCTCATTTAGCGTTACCCGGTGGGCACCTGTGAACCAAAGTTACAAAGGCGAGAAACATTACCCACGCCACACTGCCACAGATACCCACTCAACGGGCTAGCCATATTCACAAATTAAACAACAGATGACAATACACACAGAAACATCCAACCCCTGAGTGGGATTCGAACCCGGAGCCTTATACCAGAAGCCTTTGGCTTCGCACTCAAAATTGGATCAGCTGTTCAACGGCGATTATTATTAGTTATACAATACGGCAGTTTTACTAAAAAATTTTCCGTATAATTTACGAAATAGGTAGCTAGTTTTATTCAAAAAGTACTCTTTAAAAAAGCTTTTTTTGTCAGTCAGTACTTTTCTTAGATAAAAAGTAACAAATAAAGAATGTTAACAGTATTGCATAAAGAACAATAAAGTAAGATATGCCAAAATTAAAAGATTTTGATAATAAAAAAATTTTCACTTCATAAAACACATTTTTTTCATACATTTAAACAACGTTCTGTTTATAAATTTAAAAACTATCATGCTGGCATGAAAGTATGAAAAAAAAAATTAGTTTGGAAAATCACAAAACAATATTTTAAAATAAGAGACAAAGTTTTACTTAGTTTCTTTTTTTTTCGATATTGCAACAAATCTCAAAAAATCTGATTTAAAATACAAATGTACCATGAAAATATATTTTTAATTGGAATTTACTTTGAACAAAAGAAAAGAATCAGCAACTATTCTCTTCACGTATGAAAAGTTAAATGGTTTTCAAAGACATGCCACATAAAACATTTATTTTAACCGGCAATTGCAGATTTTTTGACCATAAATAAACCAAAATTCCGTTTCTGTATTGAGATTAACCACATTCTTTAAGTTTATTAAATGCTCTATCTTAAGAACTCCATAAATTTCTCGTTAGGCTTTAAATTACGTGCACCTTTTTTTTAGAACTAAAAGTTGCTTGAGTAGAAATATACGGGTTTGTTAAATCTAAGCAATATTTATTGCGAAAACTAATTGAGATGTTTCACTTATTTATAGGTTTTCTCAATACAAAAGTGGGTTGATCCTTATAAATAAAATAAATGTTTTAAATAAATTTAAATAAAATAAGAAAAGTCTTATTTTATCCACAAATGTAACTATTTATTTTAAGGAAATAAAATTAGCTCTTTAATAAGGTTTCTTAAATATCTTAACATTAAGCCTTCTTTAATTAAAAAAAGAATAACACCCATTAATCCGCATGGTAAAACTTTATGTTCTACTAAATTACAGCACTTTTTTTCCTATGGTTTCTAATGTTTAGCTGCCAATGAGCTAAATTATAGCTCTGATCGTAACATTCTGTTCAATTTTATTTTAAACTTACGCTTAAGATAAATTTTATAGCAGAATAAAATATAAGCTTTAAGAGTTTTCTACACAGAGAAAATCGTATGGTAAAAACTACCAGAATGTAATAAACTTTACTGTGTTTCAAGCTCTTAGGTAACACCAAAAAGCTCTTTAATTTTTACCTTTTTCAGTGCTTCGATAACAATTGTGGTAATATTAGCTATAAATATGTTGTTCTTTTAATATGCGATGAAATTTAGTAAATATGGTAAAATTTGATCATAATATGTACCCAGCTGCAAGAATCTAAGTTACTTTCTCAGGTGGGCTCAGTTGGGGCGATTAAGCTCTGGTTGTTTAACTGGTCAATGTTTTTCTAACAGTTAACGCTTTGAATACTATATTATTTACGGTTATTTGACTGTTTTGTTTGAATATGGTATAATAACAATTAAATAAATTGTCATTTAACCATTTTTTCCGAGAAATTTCTAACAGTGTGTTATTTAAGCGCATTTTTTTCCTATTACTTTGATGAGAAATCCATGTTCTCATTTTGATTTTAAATACTATATACTTCAAATTGTTTAATGATTTCATAGCTTTTGAGCTCTTAAATTACTCGCAAAGTATTTTTTCGTGACTTTCTTTTAATAAATATTATTATAGGGGAGAATCGGGTAGCCCCGCCCACTATTGCTCATACTTCTGTATAATATTGAGTAATAATCAATATTTTTGTATGTCTCTATTGTTTTATCATCTAATTAAATAATGCAAAAAGAATAAACCAAAAATAGAATAGTTTAGCTTAAAAAAATAGAAATTTAAAAAATTTGACTACTGTATTCAACATATTTTCAAAACTATTGTTTACCATGTTACCAGCTGCATAAATACTGGAAACTTTGAAAATAATCCTTTTTTAATATAACAATTAATGTCCAATGGCCGATTGACTTGAAAAAATATTCTATACATATGAAATTGACAGTGGGCGGGGGTACCCGACACTCCCCTAAGTATTTTTAAACCAATATAAGTTTATGATTAATTTAGAATATTTTTTTGCGAATCTTAGGAGAAACCCTTTTACTTTATTTCTGAAGAGGGAAAACCGGAAGGAATTGAATATCAGCTTATAAAAACTTTAAGAGAAAAACTGAACTTCAAGTAAGATAATGTGAACTATTGAATATTTTAAAAATCTCAAATAGCGTTAACACTTTATTGTACAATAATCATATACTATTATCAAAAGTTTTGCATTTAAGAGATATTAAAAAAAGATTCATATTCCAAATTTTTAAGTTTAAAAAGATGACAGTTTCATTTAATTCACCGATTTTTGTTTTCAACGTTAGAACTAGCGATAAATCCCTTGAATATTCAAAACAACCTCATTGAGCAAACATTATACATTTAAACTTTAATGTTGCTATACAATTGGGAGCTTGTAAAAAACTGTCCAGAGCCTTTCTTGTGCTGCTGTCTTGTGAAAACTTGATATTAGTAAAGTACCTATGTTAAAACAATAATAAGGAACAGTTTGATGTTAATGTCAATTTCTGATTAAAAAATAATGCGATGTATTACTATATTGTCTCAAGTCTCTCATATTTTTGATGGTTTTACATTGAGACCCCAAAAAAATTTCGTCGAAACTAAATGAGGTCACAACTTCAACAAACAACAAGCTCCATTCCTGAGAATTATTAGCATACCAGCTATTTTCTGTTTGTTCTCTTTTGTTCAGTTTGCAGAGACTATTAAAACAATTTTAATAATTATTAAAGTGATATTAATATTTTTTTATTATTTTTTGCTTATTTATTATTTATTTACTTTTAGCAATTTATCTAGTGCCACTTTAAATAGAAATTTATAAGCGACGAATAACAAGAACAATTTATCTAATGCCACTTTAACTGGAAACTGATAAGCACAGAATAACAAGAACAAAATTAATCAACTAATTCAACTAAAATAAAAATATATTTACTAAACAACAGCTAATTTATGACTTCGCTTTTTAAAAAAAAATTCTTTTTCTTGTACTGCGCGACTACTTTCATTATTATACAAACAATTGAATACCTGATAATATAAAAATTTCATTCGCTTCAAAAATAATTAAACTTGAAAAGAGTCGGCATGCTTAAAGCAATCAAAAACAGACACCCATTCTCAAGACCCACCGAATGAGGAAAATAAAATAAATTTTATTCGCTTAAAATGCTATTGTTAATAAATATTGTTTGACTTAAATTAATTTTGTTAACATATCTAGAAATTATTTTAAAACCAAAAGGTTTAGGATATTAGCAATTTTGTATCCAACAGACGAAAAAAACCGCACTGCAACAACTGCATTTTTGAATTAGAATACCTTTTTTTTTTGTACAGAACAAAAGAAACGTCGTAAAAATTTGCTCCAGTGAAAAAAATTTATATTTAAGCATTTTTACAACTCCTATATTTTAAAATGAAAGTAATACCTCTCTGTGCGTACCCGTATGTTTTGAAATCTTAAAAATTCTTATAATTTTTGCCAAAAAACCAAGAAGTTGTGTGAACTTTTAAAAGTAATTATCCCTTTAAATATTAGCTATAGAAATATATTACCTTCTCATTAACATGAAATTAATAAAATTTGGTCGATTTTTTTTTTTTTTTCATTTACTCCCTTCATAAAGGAAACACTTCTCTCCGGGAGAAAAAGGAAAACTTATATTTACACTAAAATATGATAAATCGTGTAATTAGTATTTTCTCGTTGCTTGAGTTTTAAATGAGATTCGTCCATATTTTTTATATAAATTTCACATTTATAGTTATAATAGATTCTTGGGAGTCGTAATTAAAAAAATGTTGGGTAGGGAAATCATGAAAAATGCAAATTTTGCAAATTTTATTAATATTTTAATTAAAAATAAGAAGAATCGTCTTTAAAAAAACATGAAAGTTTAAAATAAAATTTGTCTTACTATCGAAAAAAAAATTCTAGGAGGAAAAAAAATATTCTTTATGATCAATATTGAAAAAGTAATTATAGGATTAAAAAATTCATGATTATATTAAAAAAAAGAACTTCTGAGCTCAAAATTTCTTCATGATTACGATGGAAAAAGAAATTTTAAAATGAAAAAAAAAAATCTTCATAATTAGCATGGAAAAAAATCCTTCGTAATTACAACGCAAAAAGAAATTATAGGGTAAAAATTAATTCCCCATAATTGTGGTGAAAAAGAAAATCGAGGATTAAAAAAAAATTTCATGATTTCAATGCAAAATTTAATTCTAAAATCTTTATGATTACAATGTAAAAAGAAATTCGAGGATAAAGAAATTCATCGTGATTCCGATGGAAAAAGTCATTCTATGAATAAAAAAATTCATCATAATTCCAATGGAAAAAGAAATTCGAGGATTAAAAAAAAATTCTCGTAATTCCGACGAAAAAAGACATTCTAGAAATAAAAAAAATCTTCATAATTCCGATGGAAAAAGTGATTCTAGGATGGAAAAAAAATCCATGATTACCATCCAAAATTAAATTCTAAATCTTTATGATTACAATGAAAAAAAAATTTTCGAAAATGAAAAAAATATATATACATGATTACGTGGGGGAAAAAAACTTCTTTATTTAAACTTTTCACTGATCAGAAATATCTTAAATATTATCAAATATTGGTTTTAACATTTTTTAGTTGATAACCAAATTAAAATATATGAGTGATTTTTAGGATAGAGGACTAAAATTGCATCTCCTACCCGTTATCCAGGATCTGAACACAAGCGATTCTGGAATTACTAAAAACACCCACGGGCACACTCTTTTAATTTTTTTATTTTAGACTACTGCTCGTCTTCAGAATCTGAAAAGAAAAAAAAAATCCTTATTTATAGTGTCACCTTTTCACCAAGAAATGTAAATTTATTAAGCTTTATAAATCTTATCTACAAAGGTCAAAGCTATTAAACCAGTTTTTAACTACATGCTTGTCAGGAAATGATAAATTATGTTTAAATGAACATCAGAAGCGAATGTCGGTGTTTAAGTCGATGAAACAGAAATCTTTTCTTCAATGCTTGAATATAGGAACATTTTGTCATAACGTTTTACAAAAATATTACAATTTATTTGTATTAAACGTTATGAAATGACATATTACACTTATATTAAACGAAAAACTTAAATCTTGTTATGATTCTGTTATGACAAATAAAATAAATCTAATTCGCTTCATGAGCATTAAAAAAATTAGACCCTAATGTATAATTGTCAAACAATGAGTAGCATAAATAAATATAATCTAGAACAAGTCACTCATTTCTGTAAATACAATTTAGAAATGGACAAATCTGAAGATAAAGAATCACCCTATTATTCACATTTCCTGTAATAAGCATTTTAAAAATATCCGGGACACATTTTTAATTTTTTTTCAAAAATACATACACTTTTTTAATTATTTTTATGCTGCTATATTGTACAATAAAAATAGGAAAGGTTTTAATAAAACTTCCACTATTAAGGTCAGTGTGTCTAAGTGCAACAATGTTCAGTTACATTAATTCATAATTAAAGATTTATCTGCAAATGTAATAGTATGAAAATTTCGTGTTTCTGGAGCAAATCCCAATTCCTCTGTAGTTTTTCCGCAGCAAAACAAAGTGCAACGTTAAGTTAAAACAAAAACATCGGCGGCTATTCTTATGATTTTTTAATTATAGATTTTAACAACGTTATTTTAATTTTTTCCAGAATTGATATCATCAAACGCAGAGATCAGGACACGGGACGTGAGTTGCCAAATGGAAGCTGGACAGGATATATTGGTCTCGTTCAACGTGGTGTAGGTAACAATATTTAAATTTCAATAAATATGAAGAACTAGGGGTGTTATATGAAGAACTAGCCAAATTGTTCCAGAGAGCCTTTTCAATGAAAAACACAGCGAAATTTATGTAAATGATTCAAATTTTTGTTTTGTAAACACAACTGGGAAAATTTCGGCGGTTGTGTACTTCGGTGAACTACACTAAGTTCAAATTTGCTGCACCGTTGTTGTGAAGCTACACGGAGAAGAAAAATTCTTGCAAAATTACCTTAAGAAAATAAATCTGGTTAGTAAAACCAAAATATACAGTATTTAAACCATTCATTTGGAATATTTTCAATTCATACGGTAACGGTTTACGAAAGCTCTGGTTCTCAAAATTATAGTTCATGTTACCACACATTTAGTAAAACATACAAAACTGAAAAGTAAATTTAACCAAATAAATAGTTTTTATGTCATGATCTTAGATATTTTAATTTTACCACGTTTACCAAATTTTAACACATTTACTGAATTTTACCACATTTATTAAATTTTTCACGTGTCTATTTTGTTTTTGTTTAACCCAGAGGTCGCCAAAGTGGTCTATATAGACCCCCAGGGGTCTATTCCGCAAAAGCGGGGGTCGATCTGAGACAGAGAGTCGAATGGGGGTTGATTCGAATAGGATGTGTCGATTGGGGGTCGAAGAAAAAACAGCTCTTAATATGCAAGTCACAGATACGTAATTTATGTGATTTGCGTATTAAGAACTGTTGTATGTAAAATTTGTGAATTTTTTTGTAATTGACTTAATATCAGTTTCTTTATAAAACAAAAAATAATAAACATATATTTATTCGGGTGAAGCAAGCTGGCTTATAAGTCATATGCCTATGTGCGCTTGTTCAAATGTCATATGTGACGAGTATTGATGTTAAAAACAAAAATATCATATGCAGTTTCAGCTATCTTTGCAAACTGTGAAGAATGTTGAATATTTGCAGTGTCATTATTAACACTTTTACAGTTTTTGATAATTAGTTATTGTTTTGATAAAACCATTCGTTTAGTTTAGATATCAATTTTAATTATCAATACATGTAAAAAAGAAGGTAAGCATTAATAATATGGATTAGTACAGCCCGAGACAAAACTGCAAGATGAGCTTGTTGAATTATTATCGGATCTTGAAGCAAAGACGCTTTTTAAAAATTTAACAATAAGCAAATTTTGGACAAATATAAATATAATGCAAAAATATGTAAAACTTTACGAAATAGCTCAGCCATTTATGCTAGAATTTACAAGTTCCTATAAGGTTGAAGCCGGTTTCAGTTACGCAAATTCAATCTTAACTAAGTACAGAAATATATGTGGAGTTTTGAGGGAATTTAAGATTAAAATTGACCAATTTTGAACCCACTATAGCGAACTTTGCAAAAAAACACTAGGCACACCCATCTCATTGATTCAGAAGCAATAAATCTGTAGTAACTTTACTAATTTTCTCATAAAACTATTGTTACACAATGTACTATTACTTTAATAAATGTTTAAAGTCATAAAATAAATGTATAAACACAGTATCTAATAGTTTTATTTTAATTAACTGAAAATTAATTTTATGGGGGTCGATGGAGATTTCAAAAATTATATAGGGGTCGATGTTCAAAAAGTTTGACGACCCATGGTTTAACCTAACAACAAGGAGAAAAAACTTCTGCCAAAATTAAGGTGCTGTATTGAAATAAAATTTCTGGTAAAAAAAACGTAATTCTGGTTAATAGATGCAAAATATACTGTATTTAAACTATTCATTCATAACTATAATGTTCATATCGTAAAGGTTTAAGGAAAATTTAGGTTTTCAAAATTTTAGTTTTTTACTATCGCACATTTAGTACAAAATACATAACTAAAAAACAAATTTAACCGAATAAATGACTTTTATGCAATTTTCTAAGATGCCATGATAAATTACATAGACGCAAACATTTACTCTTTCTGAATAAATAAACATTTTTTCCGCGAATCATTCCTTTTTAACTTCAAAATAGAACGATAGGGTAGTTATAATTTGGAAAATGTAATTTCAATTAAATAATAAGAAATTAAATAGTAAGAAATTAAATAAGAATAAATTAAATAAGAAGTTTAATTGTAAGAATTTAAATGATTAGCAATTGAATTGTAAGAAATAATAGTTAACTATAAAATTGTATTTTAAACATAAAATGGTTTCAGATAAATGAGTTCTAATAAATGTGGAGAATTGTTTTAGTGCTTCAAAAGATCTGGTAAAATACACAAAAAGAGAAATAAACATTTTTTTTGGGGGGGAGACTCAAATTTTAAAATGCACTCATCACCTCTCAAACAATTGGGACTAAATTTTCGTACTACAAAAATTCTCATATTTTAAAGTTAAAAAGATATGAACTTTTCCTTCTGGTAAAAAAAGTGCTTTAATTCCTAAGAAATTAGCTTTTGTGTTTTATTTCATAACTTAAAATATTGTCTGCAGAAATTAACCAGAATATTTGTGATTAAGCCTTGGAATCATTAAGACTACATCATATTATTTGCAAACCATTCAATAGATCAAAAATTAATATAGTTTTGGGAATTATACATTTAACAATTTAAAACAATAAATAACGGGGTAAAAATAGTGTGTAAAAAAATTTATACTATTCTTCAGAAACGAAATCTAAAGATAAAAAAAAAATCGTTAGATTAGGCATCATCGAAATTGTCACAATGAGAGATCACGTCTTATCTCTAGAAAAAAAAGGAAGAAACACTTTCTCACTACCAAATTTCACCAATGACACTTGTTCACTTGACAAAGTATGTGACTTTCCTTAATTACTATCAGATGTTGTATCAACATACATTTTTAACAATCAACATTCAAAACAACAATGGAAGATCAATCACGACTTGTAGATTTACAGAAGTATGGAATTTGATAGGCTTTTTTCTAATTTTCTTATCCAAAATTATTGTTTCCAGTACGAAATGTTACAATAATTTGATCGTTGTTTTTATAGCTACTTCTGTTTTCATACTACATTTGTTTTTGCTACTGAGAAAGGCAAAACCAATAATACTAACATTTATTTTTTAACATTTTGCAAATTATAAATTTGAAGTAAACAAAATCCTACAAACAATACGAATAGACAAAAACGCAATTTTTATTTCCCTTTTTCCTGTTACTTCTGTGTGTGACAAATTAACTTACATGCGTCTAACCCTCATACGAACCTAAATTAAAAACAAGATATACTAAAAAATATTTATTATAGGGCGCTGTCTTTATACATTTGTGCTTAAATTCTTTTGCAATAGAAGAAAAGACAAAGGTGTTATAAAATGAGGTAAAATAAGTTCGGAGGGCAATCGCAGAAAGTAAGATCGGCTTTGAAGGAAAGCAACTTTCTTAAAGATGAAAAGCATTTGTAGCGTAAATCTTTTTAATGTATAAAAATTTACTATACATCGCCTATTTGTTTTACCCCAAAAAATATGAGAAAGTTATAAATTAATTACTGATTTCAATAATTTTATATCTAGATAAAAAAGAAACCCAAACATCGAATTATTTTATTAAATAATTCTTCTAAATATTTGAAAAGTTTGTCTGTTTTAATGATAGTCTCTTATTTTCTGTCATGTATTACTGATAATACACTGGTCGACAAAATTAAGAGATGGAAGACATTTTCCCAAATATCTCAAAAAATACTGAATATAAATAAATGAAATTTGGTGTGGATATAGCTTATTCCATTATAATAAAGTATGCAAAACAAAAATGAAAGTACCATTCACTGCAAGACCTATTGCCAATAAATCCAATGTAGTCTAAACTTAAGGATAAAAGATGACAATAAAAGTGAGGCTTGTACAGTGTGTGTTGGCTCTAGTATGGTGTATGGTCACCCCTGATTGACAGACAGCATGCACAACGAGTATGCATGCTGTTAATAAGGGAGTTAAGGAGGACTTGTGGAAGACCCTCCCATTCTTCCACCAGAGCAATTTTTAACTCCAGAATGGTTC